AGATATATACTATGTCCTCCTAGAGATCAGACCGTAGGTAGATATATACTATGTCCTCCTAGAGATCAGACCGTAGGTAGATATATACTATGTCCTCCTAGAGATCAGACCGTAGGTAGATATATACTATGTCCTCCTAGAGATCAGACCGTAGGTAGATATATACTATGTCCTCCTAGAGATCAGACCGTAGGTAGATATATACTATGTCCTCCTAGAGATCAGACCGTAGGTAGATATATACTATGTCCTCCTAGAGATCAGACCGTAGGTAGATATATACTATGTCCTCCTAGAGATCAGACCGTAGGTAGATATATACTATGTCCTCCTAGAGATCAGACCGTAGGTAGATATATACTATGTCCTCCTAGAGATCAGACCGTAGGTAGATATATACTATGTCCTCCTAGAGATCAGACCGTAGGTAGATATATACTATGTCCTCCTAGAGATCAGACCGTAGGTAGATATATACTATGTCCTCCTAGAGATCAGACCGTAGGTAGATATATACTATGTCCTCCTAGAGATCAGACCGTAGGTAGATATATACTATGTCCTCCTAGAGATCAGACCGTAGGTAGATATATACTATGTCCTCCTAGAGATCAGACCGTAGGTAGATATATACTATGTCCTCCTAGAGATCAGACCGTAGGTAGATATATACTATGTCCTCCTAGAGATCAGACCGTAGGTAGATATATACTATGTCCTCCTAGAGATCAGACCGTAGGTAGATATATACTATGTCCTCCTAGAGATCAGACCGTAGGTAGATATATACTATGTCCTCCTAGAGATCAGACCGTAGGTAGATATATACTATGTCCTCCTAGAGATCAGACCGTAGGTAGATATATACTATGTCCTCCTAGAGATCAGACCGTAGGTAGATATATACTATGTCCTCCTAGAGATCAGACCGTAGGTAGATATATACTATGTCCTCCTAGAGATCAGACCGTAGGTAGATATATACTATGTCCTCCTAGAGATCAGACCGTAGGTAGATATATACTATGTCCTCCTAGAGATCAGACCGTAGGTAGATATATACTATGTCCTCCTAGAGATCAGACCGTAGGTAGATATATACTATGTCCTCCTAGAGATCAGACCGTAGGTAGATATATACTATGTCCTCCTAGAGATCAGACCGTAGGTAGATATATACTATGTCCTCCTAGAGATCAGACCGTAGGTAGATATATACTATGTCCTCCTAGAGATCAGACCGTAGGTAGATATATACTATGTCCTCCTAGAGATCAGACCGTAGGTAGATATATACTATGTCCTCCTAGAGATCAGACCGTAGGTAGATATATACTATGTCCTCCTAGAGATCAGACCGTAGGTAGATATATACTATGTCCTCCTAGAGATCAGACCGTAGGTAGATATATACTATGTCCTCCTAGAGATCAGACCGTAGGTAGATATATACTATGTCCTCCTAGAGATCAGACCGTAGGTAGATATATACTATGTCCTCCTAGAGATCAGACCGTAGGTAGATATATACTATGTCCTCCTAGAGATCAGACCGTAGGTAGATATATACTATGTCCTCCTAGAGATCAGACCGTAGGTAGATATATACTATGTCCTCCTAGAGATCAGACCGTAGGTAGATATATACTATGTCCTCCTAGAGATCAGACCGTAGGTAGATATATACTATGTCCTCCTAGAGATCAGACCGTAGGTAGATATATACTATGTCCTCCTAGAGATCAGACCGTAGGTAGATATATACTATGTCCTCCTAGAGATCAGACCGTAGGTAGATATATACTATGTCCTCCTAGAGATCAGACCGTAGGTAGATATATACTATGTCCTCCTAGAGATCAGACCGTAGGTAGATATATACTATGTCCTCCTAGAGATCAGACCGTAGGTAGATATATACTATGTCCTCCTAGAGATCAGACCGTAGGTAGATATATACTATGTCCTCCTAGAGATCAGACCGTAGGTAGATATATACTATGTCCTCCTAGAGATCAGACCGTAGGTAGATATATACTATGTCCTCCTAGAGATCAGACCGTAGGTAGATATATACTATGTCCTCCTAGAGATCAGACCGTAGGTAGATATATACTATGTCCTCCTAGAGATCAGACCGTAGGTAGATATATACTATGTCCTCCTAGAGATCAGACCGTAGGTAGATATATACTATGTCCTCCTAGAGATCAGACCGTAGGTAGATATATACTATGTCCTCCTAGAGATCAGAACGTAGGTAGTTATATACTATGTCCACCTAGAGATCAAGACTGTAGGTAGTCTATGTACAGCCCAGTGATAATGTTATTGGTCCCTTTACAAAAGGCATTTGATGCACACACGGCAGATTTACCTCCTTTGTGACTATTGAGAAATAGATTATAAAATGAAGATTTGTTTTTTGCCCGGAGTTCAGCTTATTTGCTGCTGTTGGGAAACTATAACAAGATGCATTTCTCAGGCCACTGCAACAGATGTGAATTTCCACACAAGTTGATTCATCAGACGAGTGTCATGTTTTGGGTTATAGTATGAAGAGGACATCGGATTTCACAATAAAATGAAACGTACCAAAAAGCAGCAAAAATAAAAATAAAGCAAAATGGCAGACAAGAGGTAGAAATCTAAATGCAGCCACAGACAGACAGACAGACAATCATCTGATTTGGTTACGTCCAATGTCATAGTTGGAGGAATAGTCATCACATTCTCTGCCGTGACCCCCAGGAGAAGCTCATTATATAGATCTATGAACGTCTGTATTAGTGTCCTCCTACGGCCATCTTATGTCTACGTCACACATACACAGCTTGTATCATATAACGGAGCGTGCAAAACACAACACCGGCGCACACAAGATCCTATTTGTGACTTCCATCATGTCCAATGGTTGGCCGATGGCCCTGAACTTGTAGCCATTTGTGGAGAGCTTGTCACTTCGTTCCTCATGCATGTTGAGATCCGATTTGTGCGCCCGGACTAAATACCTTTTAAATCGAGGAAGATTTTGGCTAATCCCAAATTAAATAACCCACATTACATCTCAGACCCCCCCCCCATCCTTTCTGTGGCCCAGTCAACACCATTGTTGGCATGATTTACACCCAGAAATCCAGAATAGACTTGGAGTCGCACAAAGACGCAGCGCTCCACGGGTGGGTGAGGGGTGCTTCCCATAGTACTCTATATCACCTTCATACAACGTTTATATAGAAGCCGCTGCAACTATTGCGCCACAATTCCTCGTCTTATCTGCCGGGATCACGCTGTATGAATATTTATTGGGAAATACTAAGCATGGCAGTTACTGTACTACCAGTGTAAGCATGGGAGGGTATAGAGTATAGGACGGCCATATGCACCCTACATACATATCCATACAGGCACGCACACTACAGAAGTCTATGGCAACCACAGTGAACACATTACATAAAATACAACATAACATTTGCAATTACAGTCCGGGATATACAAGAACAGGCTTGCTGTATACATAGTACAGAAGAGGAAAATAAAATTAGCCACAAACCCCCATAGCAGACGGCGTGCAATGCAATGTACAATCCACATGGCACACTGCAGATATCATCAGCACAGTGATCATGTCTATGGGATGATAAGCTGTGTCAGCCAATAAAAATAAAAGAAAGGAAGATTCAGAATCCTGCAATCAGCCCAGACATTCGGCATCTCGGGGTCATGTCACACCAGCATCATTGTAGCAGGGACACATCCCTCGGCTTATCATCTGGAGATGTGTGGAGTTATAGTTGGCTACAAATGGCTAGCGTGCCAGGACCATCGTCACCTGCATTGGATAACATGAGGAGACAGAGACGCTCCGTACATTGCAGAGAGTCACACGCTCGGCCATCGGGCTACGAATGGAAATTCAGCATCACAAACCTTTTATTGGGAGCAATTGAACAATATGAAATCAAGGCGAGCGGCCGGCGTGATCGGCCTCTCCGGTCACCCAGCAAACCGGCTCATCGGTGACAACACATCGCATGTAATAAATGTACAAAATCTGCCAAATGATTGTGTTTTGTCCGCATTGAATTGTAGAGGCAGATGATCCCGGGTTAAAACCACGCTCACCACAGGTAGCCACATGGGAGTCTTGAGAACCACCAAAATCTGATTTTTTTCCCCCGGTATTTAAAGCTGAACTCCGGGATCGTTATTCATTGCAATCATCAGGTGTGTTACAAATGTGTTTTATAATCTGTGCCGTCATTGCTTTGATACAGAAAGCTCAGCCATGGCCGGGTACCCGAAGAATCAAGCAAGCGGCGATGCCACTTCTGTGGGACAAACTACAATTCCCATCATGCAAATGTCCGAGTTCTCAAGGGGCGGAGGTGTTGGTGGGTGGGGGAAAAACCATCAGTGAGATAATTACATTGCCGCCGGTGAATAAAGAATTACAATGCAGATGTTACAAGTGCGGCCGGGAGCGAGAGGGGTCATAGCGAACGCTGTTCTTACACGCAGGAAAACAAGGGGCCCCCCGAAGCCCTTAATATCATCCACGGAGAGAAGTCTCAATGGCTGCAATAAGAAATTGACAAAAAGATATTTATAAAAAGTGCTAAAAAAAAATGTCTACCCGGTACAGCCCCACCGACAACATCAATACCTGGACGCAATGCTGGGAACTCTTCCCCCAAATAGATACAGTGTTCCCAATGCACAGAACACACACATAGCAATCCACACAGACATAACGGCACATTATAGATCTCTTTACAAGTGAAGCTGCCCAATCAGATTCTAGGACCCATGTGATGGGAGTCCATTATTACAGGTGCACAAAAACACTCTCCCAGCACTCAGTCTCCTCGGCTTTGGGTGTATTCACCATCCATCTAGATCTGTATGAAGCGGAGACCTTCACATGCAATGCCGAGTGCTGGAGAATTTTTGTGCTGTCCCGGTAAGCGAGGCCGTCAATCATCTGCAATGAGACCTACCTGTCACTGCTTGTGCTACTGCTGCTGCTGAGGGAGTCACTACTAGACGATCTACTCCTAGAGCCGCTGCCGCTGGGTGACCTGGCGGGCCGTGACGCTTGGCTGGCCAGCCTCTGAGGGGACTGGTTCCTAGACTGGGATGAATGGGGCGAGCGACTCCGGCTATGCTGGTAGGTCCGATCGGGCCGCCTCCCTCGTACCTCCCTGGTAATGTCGTTCCTGTAAATATCCCTGTGTACCACGCTAGGCAATGTAAACGGCTCCCGGGTCCTAGACTCGTATCGAGATTCGTGAGTGTCAAAGCGGCTCGGGCTCCTGCGAGAATTATAGAATACTCCATGTTGTAAGGTCCGGTCGCGAGGTTCTCTATAGTAATCCTGATCGTAATGTCGTGTCCGTTCAAATCCGGCAGTCCCGCGTTCCTGGTGTCCATAGGCACTATGGTCATATGACCGCTCCCGTGTCTCAGAAGCCCTGTGTTAAGAGAAGGATGGAGCGTTCAGTCTCCTGACAAAAGCAGAACACGGAGAAGAGAAAATAAAAAACAGTTCATGCAAATCATTAACAGGTAAACAAATTAATTTACGGGACTTGGAAGACATCGTTTATTACTGCGTGCTAGGGGGTGGAGGGCCAGCAAAGGGGACGGCTTTCTATACGGCTTCAATAGAGGGCTTGGGGAGGGAAGGTAACATTCTGGAATTGAGTTACGGTAACGTGTTAGAACTCCCTGTCCGGAGACAATTTGACTCCATGATGAAGGGCAACATGAAAGCTGGGAGGGGGACTAAAGCTGGCCATACAGTGCACGAATTTCATAGCCTGTTGGCCGGCATCCCTCAATCAGCTGACCGAAGGAGCCCGTTGGAGAACCTTTGAATGAACAGAGCCGGCAGCCAATGAGCTGCTGGCTGTTCAGGTACTCCGACAGCGGCCGCCATCGGAATGCAAACAGCGGGAGATTCCTCCAACGCTCACTGATGGAGGAATCTCTAATTATCTCTTCATTCAGCCGGCAGATTACAGATATTACAGTGTATGGCCAGCTTCAGAACTGGTCCTTGGTGGGTCAGCTCAGCTGCCTTCATACCTTCCTTTCTTCCATAGCTGCTAAATATTCACCGCTAGCTATCCGAAGCTCTAAAACAGGGGCAGCCAAACTTCACCCTCCAGCTATGTAAAACTGGCTCTGGGGGGCTTGCAATGCCTCATGGGACTTGTAGTCCCCACCACGGCCGGAGGGCTGAAGTCTGGCTACCCCTGCTCTAAACAAATTCAAACACAATAGGTTTTCAGCGAGAATACTGGATGACAAAACGGCAACAAGTCAAAGTCCTGGGCCATTAAAGTGAAGTCCACATGAGCTTGTGGTTCTATTCAGATCCAGATGATGACAGCTGACATTTCGTCTGACACAAAATGGGAAAGGAGACACAGTAAATGTATCTGTATTAAAGGTGAGCTCTGTTTAAGCACCGGTACCTCCGGCTGCTATACTATCACTCTCATCTGGGTGGGTGTATCACAATGTATTGATCGGGGAGCACATTAACATACAGAGAGGACTGTGCTGTCAGCAGACTATGGAGTCACAGCAGCAATCTAACGCGGTCTATTGTTTTATCGGAGAACACAATGCAGAGAAGTGGATCTTACTCATTATCAGCTGTTGTACTTGGTGTTGGCCCGAGGTTCTCCTTTTACTATCTGATAAAGTACTGGAGACTTCCTCTTTTGTATGGGGCCTATTTATAAAGGTGGGTGATCCCGCTTCTCATTTGTCGCACTTTGTCAATGCACCAAATAAAACATTGACGTGAAAAATGGTGACCGAGAGAACAAACCTGATGGAGAAGATTGGGGGAGCAAACTGAAAAAGACACAATGATGTCTTCTGAGGGACGCATCGTCTCCTGCTTCCCTCCTTCTAGAAAATGCTCAGCCAGGGAAGGCAACCTTGCCACTCCATCTGTGGTGAAGCTACCAATCCCATCATGACTTTGCCTCTGGGAGCCATGCCTGTGGCTGTCAGTCTCGCAATGGGATTTGTAGTTGCACAATAGCTGTTGCCGAGCCTTAGACACACAATGCAATACTAGTGGCATTAGGCAAGGTTAGAATTTTCCTGACTCTCTTGATTATAAAGATAGAAAAGCCATCAGGTCCAAGCACCGCTCCAAAAGGGGTGGCACTAAGTGAACACCATGGCAGGAGCCTTTCGGGGCGACATGTCCAGGCTTCCTCACAATGCAATATGGCCGCAGAGAGACAAGGCAGGTCATGTGACTGGCCCTTTAATAACCCCCCTTACAGGAATACTGCTTTCCTCTCCCTCATCTCCCCAAGACTGCCTAACCCACTACTCCTGAACTCCCTTCCTCCTCTTCTGGTCAATCGATCTGACGGTTCTTCTGAAGGAGAAGAATCAGGTCCAGCCTATCTTACATCTCCAGGCTTCATGTCAGAACTCCCCGGGGGGGGGACATTAAGGTCTAGCATTCAGAACATCCATTCAAGCTACAACAGAAACACTTTATCTCATATAATAATAATAAAAAGGAAGGATGCTTTAAGTTTCTCTCCAGAAAAGATTGCATTGGCAAGGGCTGTGGCAAAATGAACAGGAAAAACATGAATTTTTCGCTGTTGGGTATTAGGAAAGCAGAAGTCAGGACAGGAGCGAGGTGGCTTTAGTGTTATAGATACAGAGGGCACATCAATACAATCTCCATAAAGAAAGAACAGTACAGAGAGGAAGAAGAGGAGGAGGAGGATGAGGAAGCAAAGTTGTAAAGATCAGATATATAGGTGCTAACATAGCGGCTGTCGTATCTATTAGCGCTAAAGTTGTA